GGGTTGGCGTTTGGCCCTCCCGGTGACCCTTGCCCAGCGGTCCGGGTGACGAGTGGTACCTCTCTTAGGGCGGGAGGTGCCAGAGCACGGAGATTCGTCGCGGTAAGGCTGCGTGTGCCTGCAAGGGAGCTGCAGGCAGCTGTACGGGCGTGCGATGGTTCGGGTGGCGTACGAACGCCGTGCCTCCTCAAAGGCTGGGAGATGCAACACAGGGCTGGGGTGATGCGTCCTCTGGCACCGAGAGCAAAGCGGCAGCTCCCAGGCCTTGCCGTGCGCTGCCCCGTGCCGGGCTGTGTTTGGAGGAAAGCCCTGAGCTGATTCCAGCCCTGAGCGGGCAGAGGGAGAGGGAAGCATCTGCAGGCGCATCGGGGTGAAAGCTGCGGGCACCGTCTGAAACCGAGGAGGAGGGTGGGGGAGAGGGTCCGTGCTGCAGCCTGGCGCTCGCCTGCAAAAGCCAGGCTTGCTCTAAGGGAGCTGCTCCAGACACGAGCTCATTAGTCTGCAAATCCCCATCAGTGCAGTAATCACCAAGATCTGTGTCTGCCTTGGAGCAGAGCCAAAGACGAGCGGGAGCACTCGCTGCAATAAAAGCTCCCTGGGTTATTTCACAGCCATCGGCAGCAGTGCTCGCTCCCTGAGCCTCTTTAAAACGCTCCCTAAAAAGGCTTTCCTTCTCCTCCTCCTCTCCTCCTGACCTCTGGAGAGACTAATTCAAAGTGACGCTGTCAAGTATCTCTTTTTTAAAAAGTTTACTTTATTTTTGCTCTCGTCGTTTGTCCGGAGGGCTGCGCTGGGAGAGCTGGGCCTGTTCCTGGCTGTTTGTCACTGGGATGCTCCCTGGGCTGCATCCTGCCTTGCTGACTGGCCCCGAATGGGGCTTCAGCCCATGGTTTGTGAGAGGCTGTGCTTAAGCTGCCGTCGCCCCGTGGATCTCGAGGGACGTGGCAGCATCGCGGAGCGCGAGGGGCTTTGCCTCTTGTCTGCGGGGCCCTGCAGTGCTTCTGCAGGGGGTTTCTCGTGCCAGGAAGGCAGTAAAACCCTGGTGCTGCTTGCTTGAAGAGCTCCACCAAGCAGGAGCAAAGCACCCTGCGGCCGCCACCCCGCTGTGCACCCCGGCAGCGATGCACTGCTAGACAGCAGCAGCAAATCGGCAGTGGCAGAGGTGTAGACTAGTCCT